TTTATTAATATTTTTATATTTTATATAGATTTTGAGGGTCTACTAAGTATGTTTTGATATAATTGATATTTAGAAATATTTGAGTAACTTATTTTTCCCAAATCTGGGTGATTTAGTTGTATAATTCTGTTCTTTGTTGAAAACAAGGTATATTTTTAGTTAAGGTAGTGATTTTCAATTTTGATTTATAAAGATGTCCAAAGCAATTTCAGTGTAAGAGTTTATAGTTTCCAAAGGTGATTAGTTTGAAGGACAGCTCCATTTGGCCATAAATGCTTTATGTGTTTGTTTAAAAATCAGTCTTAGAAAACTCGATATCTTGATTTATTGACCAACACCTGAATATAAAATATACAATGTACATTTTTATTCAGAACGTATGCCATGCTATATCTGAAGTTTAACCTTATGGAAATTAAAAAAAAAAAGAAAGCCTTATAAAATTTACATTCTTCTACAATATTTATTAAAAATATGCACTTACGCTAGAAAAAAAGCATGTAGAACTTCCTAAGAGCTATTAGTTATTCTGGGGCTGCTCAGTTAAAAAATATTAGTTTATGTGTCCTAAGTTTCACTGGTCCTACCATTTTTTTCCTAAGTTGAAGTAGGGGGAATAGAAAGAACATGGAAAGAGAATATGTGACAAATATCATACTGTAATCATAGCTTCCCCTTTCTTGTTTGTCCCCAGTTTCCCAGTTTCTCAGCTACTCTAAGTGTTCAGAAAATCTTCAGTATGAGATCATCATGTATTAGCTATATTTCATGAAAAACAGCATGAAAAACTGATAGACTTAAAAATATCTTTCAACACTTGTTTTTTTTTTTTTTTTTTTTTTTTGTAGCAGGACTTGAACCCAGGGCCACATCCCTAGCCCATTTTTATTTTTTATTTTGAGACAAGGTCTCACTAATTTGGTTAGAGCTTCCCTAAATTATTGAGATTGGCTTCCAACTTAAGATCTTTCTGCATCAGTCTCCTGAGCCACTGGGATTACAGGCTGTATCTCACTTTTTTTTTTTTTTAACAGAATGTACCAAATTTAGTTTGGCCAGATACAAATGAAGGAAAACAACTTCTAATCTCAAGAACCAATTTTTTTTTTCTTTCTCTCTCTCTCTCTCTTTTTTTTTTTTTTTTTTTGCTGGCGCTGGGGATTTAACCCAAGCTCTTATGCTAGGCAAGTGCTCTATTACTAAGTCACGTTCTCAGTCCAAGAACAAGTGATTTTTAAGTATTTCCCAGGTGAGTAGCATCAGTTTTGACCAACTAACTAGAAAGGCAAATTGTCCAGAACTACAAAAGCAAAATCTGACTTAGAAAGCCCTGACTCTAGGTGGTTCTGATGCATGCTAAAGAATAAGGGCTGCTTGTTCAGATACTATCATTAATAGTGTAAAGAAATGGTCAGATAAACTGTGTAACTTCCTATAAATTTTTACTATTTATTATAATCACTATCATCCTCATGATTACTACAGACAAAATTACACACATACTAATTGTCTAAGATATACATGGTCAAAATGTACACACACACACACACTGTAAGGATGGCCTTAGGCTTTAGCCTAAGCAACTCCATTTTAAAACTCCAGTTTGAAACCTGCAGTCTCACCAGGCACACCTACAAGCCCTCCAGTATGGCCCTTAGGCACAAACAAGTCACTTCTCCCCACCCTGACAAACTCAGAGTGAAGTCTCTGGCATGTTGCCCTTTGCCGTGATAAAAGTGAGAAGCAAGAAAATCAGGGTGAGGACCACAAGACCAGATGCTTTTAACCTCAGGATGAATGATATCACTGATAAATCCGGTAGCAGCTGATAGAGATTGAAAGGGTGGTCAGGAGCCCCCAAATGTAGTATAAATGATGGAGCAAATTAACAGACCTTCAGCCAGCCAACACTGAAGGCACACAAGCCTGAGAGCCTGATGAGGATCTAGACAGACATCCCAAATCTTCTCATCTGCGTGATCCTCTGCGTTGTTCTCACTGCTCTCTACAGCAGCCTCTTGACTCTGGTAAGAAAAGGACTTCTCCCTAGGCCCCTCTCTTCAACCTGTCATCAGCTTCACCCCAGGAGAAACCTGCCTTGGTTCCTGATCTGATCACCATGATTTGAGTGAGTGTGCATCTGTTGGACTTTGAGACTAAGGCTTGAGACACTTGAGCTTAGCATGCAGAGGAAATGTCTGCTATGAGCCTGTCATGATTAAGTGTGTTTGCGGTGCTTAGAATTTATCTAGAATTGTTTGCTGTGAATTGATTATGTCTATTGAAGTACCTAACATTAAGGATTGTCATTTTCTTGATTAAGAACCTATAGAGGCCTGGGATTGTGGCTCAGTAGTAGAGCGCTCGCCTAGCACATGTGAGGCCCTGGGTTCAATCCTTTGCACCACATAAAAATAAATAAATAAAGGTATTGTGTCCAACTACAACTAAAAAATAAATATTAAAAGAACCCTATAGAGTTAAATTGTATTGAGTGATTTGAGTGAATAAAGCATTGAAAAGGGCAGAAGTGTGTGGATATTCTTTATTTCTCCCCCCACCGACTGCATAAGTTGTACCTTTTGCCCATCACAACACCCACCTACCCACACAATACACACATAAAACATGATTTCTCCTGTAAAAGAATGGTATAGAAAGCAGACAAGTAGATTTTTTGTTGTTGTTGTTTTCTGAAATGACACTAACCTTAACTACCTCTCTCCTTCCTTATTCCAGTAAAAGAATCAGGAACAGAAAAAATAGCAATATTACTAGTAAGAAGCTATTCTGTTTTTATGATTTAGTAGTGAAATTTTATAGGTGATATGAAAATCTTATCACTTGAAGATATAAGTTGTCATGTGTGTTGGCTGAATAGCCAAGTCCTATACTCTTTAAAAGAACTATTGAGCATGGCAGGAAAGATGGTGGAATGAGATGGACATCATTACATGTGTGACTGCACACATGGTGCAACACTACATTGTATACAACCAGAAGAATGAAAAGTTGTGCTGCGATTGTGTACAATGAATCAAAATGCATTCTGCTGTCACATATAGCTAATTAAAATAAATTAATTAATTAATTTTAAGAAAAGAACTATTGAGGTTCTGGAGTTGTATCTGAGTGGAAGAGCACTTGCCTAACACATGTGAGGCACTAGGTTCGGTCCTCAGCACCACCTAAAAATAAATAAAAAAATAAAAGAATAAAAAAATAAAAATATTGTGTCCACCTACAACTAAAAATATATTTTTAAAAAGAACTATTGAAACACTTCAGGGCAAATGAATGTTTTGTCTTATTTATAGCTAAGCAGTCATACTCATTTCAAATCTTCTCATTGGACTCGAATATTCATGATATTCAATCATTTACTAAAATTTGAAGTTCCATGATCTCCTCAAAAGTTTAGATTTCAATGATTCTGGGGTTCAGGAGTTAAGTCATAGACTCTGGAGCAGTACAATACACAAAAAGCATAATGTAATCCATGTAGGTAGTTTTAAATTTTCTACTAGCCACATTAAATAAGTAAAATAAAGCAAGTGATATCCAAGTCAAATTCTATTTCATCAAATAAATAAAAATATTTCAAAATGTCAGCAATATACAATTGTTGAGATATTTTTACAATTTTTGTGCTTAGTCTTCAAAATCTTGTATGTGAGCGCACTCCAGCTAAAATGATAAATCTTAACTGGAAAAACTTTATTTAGAATAAATAACATTTATCATTGCTTAGTAGATTGCATACCCAAATTATTCCAAATGCTAAAAACTTTCCAGTGTCTACCTGAATGCTTTTATATTGAAATAAAAATATTAAAATTCAATATCACAGTCACAATAGTTACATTTGAAATATTCACTGCATGTGACTAGTGACTATCTTTTAGGGTAGCACGTTTCTGGGATTATATCAGGAGGACTGGGAAAGAATTGCTTTGCCTCTAACTGGCTGCTTGGCCCTGGGTAATTTACCTAGCTCTCTCTAAGCTTCAGATCTGTGCTCAAATGGGTGTGGGACTAAATTCACTCAATGAATTTAAATTTCTATCTCAGAAATCTGTAGCAAAATCTAAGTCATTTTTCTTTTCATAGGTGGATTCACTGCATACGAGTTTATAATAAAATTTAGAACTAAATTAAATGCCCACAAGAATAGCTAAATAAATTCAATTAATTCATGCTCTGCGGCCACAGAATGCGATTATTATCCGCTAATTAATATTACAAGCGATTAATATTGAAAGAAAAAAACAGACTAATAGTATGAATAACACAACCGCTGCCTGTGTAAACACAGAAAAGCCTGGAAGGATCGGCCACCTAAGTAACATTTATACTGAGCAACAGGGTGGGGGCGTAAAGAAGCTGGCACAGGTCTCAGCTTGTATTTCTGGGCGGTTAATTTCCAAAAAAATATTTTCCAAAAAAAGGTATTACTTTTGTATTTTAAAGGGCAGATCTCATTTATGCTTTTTAAATGAATACACTTCTTCATAGTCTGAAATGTACTTTTAAATACAGTTTAAATATATTGTGCTAAAGAGAATGACGATGTAAAAATACTTCTATCAGATCAAAAACCACGCCGCTTTAAATTAGCTTTCGGTTGGCGGTTTCCCGCTGGCGGAACGAAAACAAAACAGCCCTTGACGTCAAGGGAGGCGGACTCTCTCGGTTACCATGGTGAAGTCTATGCGGCCATTTTTACTCGGGTCAATTCAAACGGAGGCTGTCATGGTGGGGGTGGGGCTTCACAGAAAGTCTGCAGAATAATAGATGGGAAAGGAATTATGCGTCTCAATAATAACCGGCTGACAGAATCACACAAGATCCGGCGCTGAAAGCTTAACCAAATTAGTGGGACGTTGAGACGTTGGTTCTGGGAAGAAGCGGAACTTTGCAAGTGGATCTCTAAGGTTTCTGCCCGGATTTTGAGAGCGGCTTCCTTCTCTCAGCGGAAGTGTGGGTCACAAGAGGACGACTCTTACAAGAATCCGCTATCGGCTGTGTGCACAACCGGAATCATGTCTAGTTTGGCGGTGAGAGACCCGGCAATGGATCGATCGCTGCGTTCCGTGTTCGTGGGGAACATCCCGTATGAGGCAACTGAGGAGCAGTTAAAGGACATTTTCTCGGAGGTTGGTTCTGTTGTCAGTTTCCGTCTCGTATATGATAGAGAGACGGGAAAACCCAAAGGTTATGGCTTCTGCGAGTACCAAGACCAGGAGACCGCGCTTAGTGCCATGCGGAACCTCAATGGGCGTGAGTTCAGTGGGAGAGCGCTTCGGGTGGACAATGCTGCCAGTGAAAAGAATAAGGAGGAGTTAAAAAGCCTGGGGCCTGCAGCACCCATCATTGACTCACCCTATGGGGACCCTATCGATCCAGAAGATGCCCCTGAATCAATTACCAGAGCAGTTGCCAGTCTCCCTCCGGAGCAGATGTTTGAGCTGATGAAGCAGATGAAGCTCTGCGTCCAAAATAGTCACCAAGAAGCTCGAAATATGTTACTTCAGAATCCACAACTGGCTTATGCGCTTCTGCAAGCACAAGTAGTGATGCGAATCATGGATCCTGAAATTGCTCTGAAAATTCTGCATCGCAAGATACATGTAACACCACTGATCCCAGGCAAATCTCAGACTGTGTCTGGCCCTGGGCCTGGGCCTGGGCCTGGGCCTGGGCCTGGGCTATGCCCAGGACCTAATGTTCTACTGAACCAACAGAATCCTCCAGCTCCTCAGCCTCAACATTTGGCTAGAAGACCTGTTAAGGACATTCCTCCTCTGATGCAGACTCCTATCCAGGGTGGAATTCCAGCTCCAGGACCAATACCTGCAGGAGTTCCTGGACCTGGTCCGTTAACTCCTGGAGGAGCAATGCAGGCACAAGTTGGAATACCAGGAGTTGGTCCGGTGCCTTTAGAACGGGGACAAGTACAGATGTCCGATCCTAGAGCTCCTATGCCTCGTGGACCCATGACTGCTGGTGGCCTACCTCCTCGAGGACTGTTAGGAGATGCTCCAAATGACCCACGCGGCGGGACTCTGCTTTCAGTTACTGGAGAAGTAGAACCCAGGGGTTATCTGGGTCCACCCCATCAAGGTCCCCCCATGCACCATGCCTCTGGTCATGACACCCGTGGCCCTTCCTCGCATGATTTGAGAGGAGGGCCATTATCAGATCCCAGATTGCTAATTGGAGAGCCTAGAGGACCCATGATAGATCAAAGGGGTCTACCTATGGATGGTAGAGGAGGTAGAGATTCTCGTGGGATGGAGGCTCGAGCCATGGAAACAGAGGTCTTAGAGACAAGAGTGATGGAGAGAAGAGCAGTGGAAAGTTGTGCAATGGAAGCCAGAGGGATGGAAGCAAGAGGCATGGATGCAAGAGGATTAGAGATGAGAGGCCCTGGCCCAGGTTCAAGAGGCCCCATGACTGGTGGAATCCAGGGTCCTGGTCCCATTAATATAGGGGCAAGTGGTCCTCAGGGACCTAGACAGGTCCCAAGCATTTCAGGAGTGGGAAATCCTGGAGGTGGCATGCAGGGGGCAGGTATACAAGGAGCAGGTATGCAGGGAGCAGGCATACAAGGAGGAGGAATGCAGGGAACAGGCATACAAGGTGTAGGCATACAAGGAGCAGGTATGCAGGGGGCAAGCAAGCAAGGTGGAGGCCAGCCAAGCAGTTTTAGTCCTGGGCAGAGTCAGGTAACTCCACAGGATCAAGAAAAAGCAGCTTTGATCATGCAGGTTCTTCAGCTGACCGCAGATCAGATTGCCATGCTGCCACCCGAGCAAAGGCAGAGTATCCTGATTTTAAAAGAACAAATCCAGAAATCCACTGGAGCGTCTTGAAAGGTTTTTAAAAATACTTGGTTGTAGTTTCATAGAGTTTATTCTGTAGCATAGAAAATGGGTGCAAAAAAGCTGATTTCTGCATCCCTACGTACTTTAATGATAGGGTTTCCCTCCTAGAACCTAATCACATTTCTCGTTGTCTTTTGTGTTTTCATTTTTAACTGAGGGTAGGGGGTGGAGGGAGTGGGGCTGTTCACTTTTAAGTCACTGTAAATATACAAAAATAATTCTGAAAATGATTATACTATACCAAATAAGATTACAAAGAATGCAGCAATATTATAGTCTCTGCACAATGTTAACTACATTTTTAAAATATTGGGTAAAACAATGTGAAAACTGCACATAAAGACTAAAAGGCAACCTGTTAAATGTTAGTGTTTAAAGATTTTTGGTTGTAGAAAACATTTACCTCAAAATATAAGATATTTTTTGGTAAACCATTCAAAATACAGAATCCTATTTTGGAGGCAATACAGCTTTGTATTAGATTAAACATTGTTTTAGTTTTGGAATTATTTTGAAGTGTTAGGGCTAACAGGATGAGTTTAAATATGTGGTTTTAGAGTTTTTTTAAAAAGCTGTTACCTGAAAAATCAAGGAATCCACCTGGTTTAATGTAGTTCATTTATACTTCTCTTCAGAGACGAGCAGTATTCTGCCCTGGCCCTGGCTGTGATGATTTTACAGGGATAGTTCTAGGATAAACCAGGTTACTTAAGTCTCCTCTGATGAGACCCAGTAATTTCTCAGTACCTTCCTGTTTCTCAAGAGTCTTTAAGCCCTAAATCTGAATCTGAGTGATTCTTACATCCTTCCCAAAAAATCAGTGTCAAAGGACCATCTGAGTGAGGAGGATGCACAGCACTCGGCTTTTCATAAATAGTGGAAGGTTTCTTTCAGTAAAGCTCCCAGTTTCCTTGTAACTATAGCTTTCACGTATAGATGGTATCCATTTGGTCAGTGAGAATCAGGAGTTAAAAATCTTAGCCTCAACATTTAGCATGCCTTTTTTTCTTGTTTCATAAACTGCTTTTTCTATTGCCATTGTATCAGATCATTGAGGCAAAGATAGGTAGAGATGTTCTAGACTGAATACTTGCTCAGTTGACTTATTACTCACTTTTGACAAGTCATTTAATCCTAATATACTTATCCATAAGATATACTTAAAATCAATAGGAAAGTGGAACTTAACACGTTTCCTTTTGAGGTACCGTCTAATTTAATTTTAAACCTTGAGGATGTGGACACATAAACATTTTATCACAGTCTAAGCAGTAATTAACAGAAGAGTAAACTCCCAGATGACCAGGTGATTTTCCTCTGGAAAAGGAAACCCAGTATCTAGTTACAGAAGGAAAAATATCTTAATACAAGGGACAATATTGACACTTAGAAATGAAGTTATTTTCCCTTTGCCAGGCTTTTACATTTTGAATGGATAATTCATTCTCATTTTACAAAGTTTTCATTCCTATGCTGTTCTTTGCTGTTTGCTTTGCTCTTTGTTGTGGTGGTTTATACTGTTAAATTTCTTGTGTTTTCTGTTTCTCCTGTATTAGAGAAGATAATTCACCTGTGTATGTGTGAAAGTTCTAGTTAATATTCATTTAGAGTTTGGCTTGGTTACTTTGAAATTGTAGTTGCTTTATCCTAAAGCTTTCACTGAAGGGCTCTAGTTGTGAAAACTATTACATTATAATCTTTGTTCTAGTAAAATCTCTGCATTGTTTAATGAAAACTAAATAAAAACATTGTACAGTTAAGGCTGATTTCAGTTTTCATATTTAATTTGAATGAATACATTATTTGGAAGTTTGTTGTTCTTAAGAGATAGGCCAGGGCCTGATTACTTTTGTTAATTAAAAAGACAAAACTAACGGAAGTGCAAAAAATTGATGAAAATTCGTTTAGATCCATTATCATCCATACAGTTCAACAGTTGAAATAACTATAAAGCATGTGTTACTCTATGGTTTGTATCAGAAGCAATATCTTGTTGATAGTCAGATGTTAGGCTTATGTTGGTGTTTCCCGCAGAGAACTCTGTGTTAAGGAGCAGCTTATTACTGAAACACTATGTTTACTTCTAGCCCCTACTCCCATATTCCCACTGCCAGTAGACTATAAACTCTGAACATAGGAACTATCTTACTCATTCCTGTATTCACTATTGAAAAATCACAGGTGGGAATAAAGGGCAATTTAAAGTGTCTTAGGGGAAAAAATTCTCATTAAGAGCAGTTAAGTATGGGCTGGGGCTGGGGCTGGGGCTCAGTGGTAGAGTGCTTGCTGAGCAAACGTGAGGTCCTAGGTTCGATTCTCAGCACTGCATATAAATAAATGAATAAATAAAGGTTCACCAACATCTAAAAAAAAGTATTAAAAAAAAACGCGTAAGTTTACCTGAGAGGATTTAGATTCTATATAAAAGAAATGAGTTATAAGAACTATTTGCATAAATTATTAATTAGAAGTATGATAAAAGCAAACATTTGAACTCTTTGAAAAGTTAATAAGATAGCTTCTCTTCATTTCCAATTAACAATCTCAGTGTTCCAGTATTAATATAGGAAGTAGAGAGGCTTATTTAATTTGATAGTAAAGAATAATTCAAAGAACACATATCTGCTACAATCAGAACCTTCTGCATTTTACTACACAACCATCAATTACAACTCTTGGCATCCAGCATTTTTCATAACATACAGAATACAAATGCAATCGTAAATTCATTCATAATAAAGGTTGAAGATGATTGGCCATGGTTTCTTTGGTGCTTATTCCTTTTGGGGAGTACATATTTCTTGGGATTATAGAATGATAAATCAGTGCCTTCCCACCAGCCTTCCCGTTTCTATCACTTGATGGTGAATACAAAAGTGTGTTTTAACATCTGCTGATTTTCTAGGATTTCTAATATTTGGAGTTGAGCTATAACCCTATGTCAATCTTGGGCAAAGGTAAGGCCAATGTAAGAGATTTTTATATAACTTTTCAAAGATAGTTTTCAGATTTGTTAGAAAGGCATTTTTTAAAAAGCCCTTATAATCAGCTTGCAAGGCTTCTTTATCATGCTGTGATGGGACATTACACTTACAGAACCTAATTTTCTATGGTGTGTCAAGCCTTTCTCTTAGTTCTGATGAAGTCAAAGGATAATTGTGTGGATCAACCTAAATTGGGAAAAACTGAATTAATCACAGACCTCTCACTGCTTTATTTCACCAGCTAATCTTCAGACAGACTTCCCTGGTTACCATTTGCTTTTCTCATCAGTCTCATTAAGAATGCTCTGGCTGGGTATGGTGTCGCAGGCCTGTAATCCCAGTAGCTTGGGAGGCTGAGGCAGGAGGATGGCGAGTTCAAAGTCAGCCTCAGCAATGGCGAGGCACTCAACTCAGTGAGACCCTGGCTCAGTGGTTGAGTGCCCCTGAGTTCAATCCCAAGTTCCAAAAAAGAAGAAGAAGAAGAAAAAAAAAGAATCTCTGTAGCCAAAAACCAATTTATATTTAAAGAAATTAACTATTAAATTATTAAAATTCTTTATAACTAATATTGACAAATACAAAGTGGATATATGATTCTGATATATATATAGTACATATATATAAATTTTCTAATCTTAACAAAACTTTTCATATTTTCATTTGCTTTTATATTATTTTCACATCTAGAAACAAAAGTTTACTCCTTTGGTTTAAAATTCACCATCACAAATGTCCATATTACAGATCATTTTTCTCATGATATATTAACTCTCAGGCTTCTTGTTGATATTTTTTTATCACAATATTACCTCAGTAGAGGGCATGCACTATGTTAAAAGTGATACTTGAGGTAGTATTTCAAAAGTAACAAACTAGGTGCTTATTAAATACTATATATAGGAATACCTGGATATTTACCAACTGTAAAGAAAGGGGTTACTTTACAAGTAGATATTAAGACCCAAAGATAGGTAAGTAATCATCAAGGAGTTAGAAAAAAATTCATAACAATCTCAACCATAATGAATTTTGTATGACTCGTTGTACTATTTGCAGACATTTGAAATGAATCTCAGGTGTGTCACAAAAAATAATCATTTAGAAACATTACATAGTTATCTCATGGAAGTAGAACAGATTATCTTTTGGGTATTAAGATATAAAATCAACAGTTTTCCCGAAATTATTATGTCTCCTTTATTTAATTAGCTGTCTTAATCAGAATTCTGTCTTATTACATTAAACATATCCTTTTATAATTCTGCAAAATCTGTTAACCACTTCAATGTATTTTTCAATTTGTGATTGTACTACTACCTCACCTTGTTACCTGGGGTCAATATGAAGCAACCTGAGCCAGTTTAAGAATCTACTTGTTTTTTCTCTGGACATTAAAGTCTTCAAATTAATCTTCCTTGGAAAAAATATATATCTGCTATAACTCAGTTCCCAATTTCCCTTGTTTTAAGCATTCATTTTAATATCATTGATCATGTACCATATGACAAAATGGTACAGTTTGAGTTAATATAACAGAAAGCCCTAAATTGGGGTTTTTGGTGTATTAGCATTCATAAAAACATACTGTATATCACAAATATCACCCTTGTTCACAGTTAAATCATTTTAGCAATATAAATTAAGACTATTGCTACACAAACTTTGTTTGAGAGAAGTAAACAATTAGAATATATTCCCTATCATTAGCTAATCCTATATCCAAAATGATTTCATTTTTTAAATACTAATCAATCAGAAAAAAACTTCTCATCTATTTTTAGCAACAGAGAAATTGTTGAAACCTCCAGAATTACTATCCCCTAAAGTTTTTAATATCTTGGGATAAGGATTCTCAAATTGGTGGCCTTTGAGCCAGTTGAGCTTACAGATATATTTTGTTTGACCAGCCCAATTTTCTCAAAAATTTTGAATTTGAATGCATATTTTTCCAATTTGGTCATAGGTCAGAATTTTTCCCTATGGTATTATACTTGGCTTGAGTCTTATAACTGTCAATCCCTATACTTTAATTTTATAATTATTTGCTTTAACTTTGTATAAACATGTAGTTATTAAAGAGAAACTATTGGTATCTAATTTGACAAATATGAAACAAATACTTGGCAACTGGTTTATCAAGTATATTTCTGCAAAGCCAACCATGAAAATAAACAATAGGGGCTGGGAATGTGGCTCAAGCGGTAGCGCGCTCGCCTGGCATGCGTGCGGCCCAGGTTCGATCCTCAGCACCACATACAAAACAAAGATGTTGTGTCCGCCGATAACTAAAAAATAAATATTAAAATTCTCTCTCTCTCTCTCTTAAAAAAAAAAAAGGAAAAGAAGAACTCAAATTGGCACTAAAAAAAAAAGAAAGAAAATAAACAATAACCCAGAGCAAATAAAAACAACAATGACAGATGATGAATTTTGTATAAATAGATTTTCATGAAGGAGACTAAGCAAAGGGATGTTCTGAGATGTTAACCCCATCAGTGTATTTCTCCCATAAATCTTTTGCATTTTTAATAAATATTAACCCAAAATGGCCGCACCTTATTTTTTAATTAAAATGTGTTTATAAAATAAGATTAATATTAATAATATTAAATGTTAATAGCTCTAGAATGAACATAGGTCTAGTAGACAGAATAGAATTCTTAAAATATATCTGTTATATAATCCCAGTAGCTGAGAAGGCTGAGGCAAAAGTTCACAACCAGCCTTAGTAACTTAGGCTGTAAGCAACTTAGTGAGACCCTGTCTCAAAATGAAAAGGGCTAGGGATGTTGCTCAATGGTTAAGCATCCCTGGGGTTAATCCCCAGTACCTTAAAAAAAAATCTATTATGCAACTCCCATATAGCAATTATAGTGATTTAAAAATAATAACTTCCTGTTATTCCCTATGCAAAACCTTTTATGGTTTACATTGCTTATAGAATAAAATATTTTCTTGACCTATAAAACCTTAGTAATTTCCTTCTTCACTTTGTCAGCATCAGAGTCTATCACAGCCTCTTCACTCATTGCTGCATCTATTGTGTATATAGCTTCAGCTCCTCGAATTTGCCAAATACATTTTCCATATAGGAAAATAGGTATAAATGTAGTAACAGAATATGTGTACATATGAATTATGGTTGCAAAAATAGAAGATCATTTATATAAAAATTATGTTGAATGTTTTAAGGCATGTATATATTTATCACTCCAATTTTGTTTGTAGACCAGCTTATGCCAAGTGTACTAATTTTTATAATATATATGTATATTATATTATAAAAATTATATATATAATTATATGTATATATATACATATATAATTATATGTATATATATACATATATACATATATGTATATATACATATATATAATAGATATATTAACATAAGTATAAAAATGTTCTTTTTATGAAAATATATTGAAAGTTTTGGTAAAGTTTTATAGAAGTAAGTGACCAAAAAATGGACCATTGTTAAACTCTGTAGATGTAAGATAATTTCAAAACATAGGTTTAAAATCTTAAAATCTAGAATTATATACCCACATACTTTCTAAGTATTCAAATCTTCATTCCATTTAAAGGAAGTTTGAAACTGGCAATCTTTGACAACACACTATGTCCAAACTTCATTTTTCTTGGGAATTTTTCAGATAATGGAGAAAAAAACCCTTGAAGTTTGGTGTTGCCATAGTAATCTGCCCTCCATCTCCGTGGGTTTCACCCAAGAAAGATTCCAGCCTAGCACCACACAGGTCCTCCTGCTTCCCCC